TATGCTGATAGCCTTGAGAGGCTATTTCAGATATTTCTTGACATGTAGGTGAGCTCACGGGGCTCAAACCGGGAGCGCTGCTAACACTGACCCTAGCAAGAGCAGTGCTTCGCAGAATCTACCACCGGATCGGAAACTCGACCCACTGAGAAGATCCGGCGAGAAACTCAGTGGGCTGTGTCTCTGGGTTAATTCACTCGCCGAGCCCTTCGTCGCAAGCGACGGGTTCGACAAGGACGGTGACTTGTGGTACCTAAAAGCAAAGTGCCGACTCACCGGCAACCGAGCGTCAAACGATACTACAAAGAACTTCGTCTTAAAAAAAGTAATTGTAACTGTCGGACGCTAGGCCTTAGGATTGTTTGATGGCGGAGCGACAGTCGACCATCGGCGAGCACGAGTCTCTCAGCCGCGCCTCAAATGACATCTGGTGGGCACACTTATAGTGCGCAATGCCTAATGATACTAATGAACGCGCAGGATATCTTAATGCGATCACTTATCGTCATCGATACAGACATCAATCATGTAATTATAAGTATTAGAGATTACATCGGCCGGCCAGCGCGGAAACACGACATGTGATGAAATAATCACGTGACCTCATGACTTGCTTCAACATATAAGATATTGATCGATCCTCGGCCCTCGGGATTGTAATGGCCGCGTTGCTGGCGCACTCAGCTTTACTTCGTCTGCAATCTGTTTGAACTAGCTCTATCATACGAGTATCTGTGCACTCTGCACGTACCAAAACGTACCATCATCCCTTTCTCGTCTGTTCGTCAAACGATTTTTGTCTTTTTTTTATTTAGTTGTATAGACGATGTTTAGTGCTCTCCAGTAAGAAAAATGTTAAGCCTCGTACAGATTGTGCGTTGCAGGGTACGCGTAGCTTGGTCACGCGTACCCTGCAACTCACAATCCGGACGTGTTGCTACGCGTATACATTCGCTGTACGCGTACCTCGCGAGCCAGGCTCGCGCGCGGCGATCCTTTCGAAGTATTTAGTCGCGAGTCAAAGAAGTTGTCACGCGTCATTTGGACGTCACAATAGCAAGTCACACGTTCTCGTGTTTCGATAATGAAACCTCTATAAAACTAATTCAGTTATATGAAGTATACAACAAATGCAAAATTACTTTATATAAAAAGACAATGAAGCAAAACGTAAACTTCCAATTGATGACCAATTTCATGAAATTTGCCATGCCATGTCGGGGATCGCGTTTCCTAAGAGAATACGCACCAATGCGCACCAATACGTACCAATACGTACCAGTATGTCCCAATACGCACCAATACGTAACAGTACGTCCCAATACGCATCAATACGTACCAGTACGTCCCAATACGCACCAATACGCACGTGCGAAACAAGACACCAGTGCACGTGCAGTTGATATACCTAAATGAAATCCGTACATCGTGTAGATTTGCGTAATTGTCCATTGCCTTATCCTGTGGGTTCGTGTTACTATTTTATCGGAATCAACTTATTAATTTATGTCATCTATAAAACTGAAATGAACTAAAACTGAATAGTCGATTAAGTGAAGCAGCGCCGGCCGCGTCCTGTTTCAATTAAATAATATGTATGCACTTTAAAGTGAACTAACTGGTTACAAAATTAGAACTACCTCTAAATTCGATACTGATACTGAGGCTGATACTGATACTGATACTGATACATAGGTAGGTTCACGGCTTAACGTTCGTCAGTCCACAACTCTGATGAAATGTGCCAAATTTGAAAAACGAATGGCTCTTGATTTCACCGAACCTACGAATAGCCTTATTATTTATTGGTAGCACCGAACTGATAGAGACATGAAGCTTGCATGGATTAAACGAGAAGGTACAGAAATTAAAAGCTTTTAAGACTGAATATTGCCGTAAGACGAAAGCATATTCACCAGATGGTCCGTCAAGCACGGTTTGAGGTGCTATGCAGTGGCGCTAACGTTATCGGTCGAGTGCATTCAGACGAGACATACTTTGGCGCGTCTTCTGTCGACGCTGCGGTTGTATACAAGTAATAAAATCCAAAAACATTATCATAAATACGGCATTTAAATGTTATAATAACGCACAATCCTTTCACATCGTAGGTATAAGCAACGAACTTTTACCAATTCATTCATACCAAAATGAACGGGAGTATTGAACCTCTATCAATCATATTATGTCGAATTAGAGAAGCATGTTATATGTATTATTATGTATAAATGATTTACGTAAACATTGTGAGCTTCCTATTTCACTATCTTTGCGGAGTGTCCGCGACGTTATCAATCAATGTTTATAAATCGATACTTCGTTTCTATCATAAGCCAATTGTTATTAACATTAACATCTTCCTCGTTCTACCTCAAGTTTGTAATCTTTACTCAAATCATTCCTTTGCCTTCCTTGTGACATAATCAAACTACTTTGTAACGAGTAAAAAGTTTTCGAAAATTTATATTTTCTAATAACGACATCTGTAGCATTTTGTTTAAAACAATTTAATACAATATAGATTCCATTCTACTACTACTAAAGAAATACTCGATCGTAATGTCAAAATCCACTATACTAATTAGTAGATTTTGACTCGCACTCGCACAAATGTAATTCGTGGTACTCACTTCAATAAAGTTACTCGATTACGGGACCACAACGTCTCATGCAATTCGCACTCACAAGATATAATAACACCGGGTACGTTGTCCGCTAGGGGCGTTGTTCCAACTCCACACAAATTTGAGTTAACTTTTACGCTATCGAGAATGTTAAACACCTCGCACAAGCACACCGATCGTTTGTTATGTTTTTGAACAAACAGAACTGCTAACGCCATCTATCTGGTTTCTCTTAAAGCCGTAGCGTCTTTTACACGGGTCGTCGCCCTTTCGGAGGCACGCCCCGCCCGGGCATGAGCTCTTGTCAATTATTTTCCAATCAAACATTTGAATAAAAAACATTTCAACTTATTAAAGTGGGTTATAAAAAATCGGGTTACACGAGGTTTTTATTTTTTTACTAGTTTTTTTTTTTAATAAGAAACTAACAAGTATTGTATCATTTTACAATCCTGATTAAATGCGCGAACTTTTAATGGCACTTGCCAAGGCACTTTAGTACATTTCAAATTTTAAATTTTAAATTCATAGTTTAACAAATAGTCTTAATTCTCCAAAACTTGGGGCAGTTGTGTCATTATTTTTGACTGTGGTTCTAGAAATGTTATTTAGGGTTATGATTCCGAAGTTAAATGAACAAAAATAGTAAAAATTAACCACAATAACCGAAAAATGGTTACAGTTTGACCAAATTTCTAAGTTTTTCTTAAAGCCCATAATTTCCAAACTGCATGGGATAGATTTTTCTCATGATGGTTACAATTAATACTGTCACCCCGTTTCGGCTTGACGTTGAGTTCTGGGACACCCTGTATATTACGAGTATACATCGGAAAACCAGTTGAGAGCCGAATGAAGCGGTTAATAGAACCCACTTTAAAGGAAACCGTGGCTAGCTCGCCCTTACAGCCAGGAAGCGTAGAGCTAGAGTACAGAGATATCATTCTACAATAATAATTGTTGTTACAGTATAACATTTCTTACAATTGTAATAACAATTATATTTCTTTAATATTCTTCAAACGGGTTTATATGTACTGAAGAATAGCACGTAGTTGCTGTATTAACAGATGTTTTATTCAGAAATAGACGTTAATTCCTATACAGTAGTGCTCTGAGGAATTGTTCGAGATGATACCGACATCTCATTTTTACCATCGCACCGCCCGCCACCGGAGTAGAGTTCAACCATACTACCTGGAGCCACTGCGGTCATCCACAGTGCGTTTCCAGAGATCTTTTTTGCCACGTACCATCCGGCTATGGAATGAGCTCCCCTCCACGGTGTTTCTCGAGCGCTATGACATGTTCTTCTTCAAACGAGGCTTGTGGAGAGTATTAAGCGGTAGGCAGCGGCTTGGCTCTGCCCCTGGCATTGCTGAAGTCCATGGGCGACGGTAGCCACTCACCATCAGGTGGGCCGTATGCTCGTCTGCCTACAAGGGCAACAAAAAAAAAAAAACATACCCCTTATGTTTTCCCAATATTAGCTTTATTTACTTGGGTAGTTTCAGTCACATTGAGTTACAAATTACATTCAGCATTCCATTCATGTTCTTGAATTAGGTAAAATACTCATTATAACATTAGTCCTACAACAGGGTAAATAAAATTAAAGAGCAAACTGAATTTTGTAGCACAAAGATATTCTGCCAAGCAACAGAATTAAATATTGTTTTAAGGTTATATACTTTTGCTAGGGGCACTGTTAGCACATTCACTCAACTTGAGCCCGTGAGCTCACCCAGTAATCGCAGCGGAGCTGGAATAACACACACTAGACTATCAGCGAATAGGTGAGGAAAAAAAGTTTTAAGATTTTTAGGTTAAGCTTCAATTTTTTGTTTAAAGTTTTATATGTTCAAAGTCATGCTAAATATTACAGATAGTTATTTATTATTTGAAATGCATTCGCCATCGACACAGAAAGTGCTACACAAAGCACACGTCTTTCATTTAACATCTCGAGCCAATCTATACTAATATTATTAAGCTGAAGAGATTGTTTGCTTAAACGCGCTAATCTCAAGAACTACTGATCCGATTTGAAAAATTTTTTCAGTGTTAGATAGCCCATTTATCGAGGAAGGCTATAGGGTATATAACATCACGCTAAGACCAATGCAAGCGGAGCACCAATAAAGAATGTTTCAAAATCGGGGTTTTACTGCCTTTTGAAAACTTCCACTGCGTGCGCTGCGGCAGAAAGAATGAGAGAATTGTTCCCCTTTAAAAGATCTAAAAAAAGTCCGCGATAGCATATATCTATATATTAAGGTTGGCTCACTATAACGTTTTTATGTCAAACAAATTTGTTCTAAAATAAAATTTCATCCGCAGTTCGAGTCCTCCACAGTGGGTTCCTCCGACGGCAAGATGAAGGACCTTACTCTGTTGGCACTGTTCACGGCGGCGTCAGTAGCTCGCGCCTATGTGCCCGTCGAGACTGATTATCACGAGGAAGTGGGCATTCCCTTGGCGATGGCTATCAAGTGTACTGAAGAGGGAGTTGACTTCGACGGTGCAAGAATTGTAGGGGGCAGCGTCGCCGGAGTCGGCACCCACCCACACCTTGTTAGTATTCATACTTTTGTATATTAACGTAATACTTTTACTATAAAAAGAAATGCACAGAAAAATGTGTGCCGGTATTCAAACCCCACAGCTACCAAATTTTCTAAGGAAATACGTATTTAACACTTGTTCACCAAGTCTTCCGCGATGAAGGTAACTATTACATTTAACATCGTGTAGCGAACATCAATTGGTATACATATATTTAAATATTATTGATGATAATACTTTATTTTTTATTGTTTAGATGGGTGGACGAGCTGACGCCCCCTGTACTGTAGCCCGAGGGGTCGGTACCACTACTCTACCTATTTTTTGATACGATGCTGTAATTCGTATCGATATGGAGGATGAGAGTCCTTATACATAAGAATACAATTAGTATTTCGAACTCGTGTCTCCAGGTGGCATTAAATTTGGATATATCTATAGGCTCCTGCAACCCTTGACACCATGGAAGTCGTGAGCTTGTACACCAGTCTAAGAAACAAATAACATAATCAAAGCACTCATAGTTTTATTTACAGCAATATCCGATTTAAAAATGTCCTCTTTCAAAGGCCGGTATGCTTATAACCCTGACCGACGGGCGCACCTCCATCTGCTGCGCCTCCCTGCTGAGCCCTACTCGCTCGGTGACCGCGGCGCACTGCTGGAGGACCATGACGCTGCAGGGCCGGCAGCTGACGCTCGCGTTCGGCACCACGGAGCTGTTCTTCGGCGGTTTCAGAGTCACCACTAACAACGTACAGGTCCACCCCAACTTCGTCCCCAGAAATCTTCGAAACGACGTGGCGATGATCATTCACGGCCGGGTCACATACACTAGTCAGTAAACCTACAGTCTGTAAGTTCTCAGTTCTCGAGGCAGGATTATGAGTTCTGTTTGCATTATTTTAGATGTTATTCAACCTATTTTTCTACCTTCTGGACATCTCCTCAACAACCAATTCGTCGGCACCTGGGCCTGGGCTGCTGGATACGGGAGAATAAGTGACGGTCGCTAATTCTTTAATTCGAGTACTAGTAGTACTAACTTGAACATTTCACGTGCAGTAGGCTTGTTTTGTTATGTAGATTTTTCCGTGTCGAACACCAGGAAGAACCAAGTGCCACTCCAGGTGATCACAAACGCTGCCTGCGCCCAGGTATATGCTGCGAACAATATCCTCCCATCGACGTTCTGCGTGAACACGGCTGGTGGACGCGGCACTTGCCTCGGAAACTCCGGCGGCCCGCTGGCCTTCACATACGCAGGACGACGCACTCTGGTCTCATTCAAACTTATTACTTTAATTTCCACAAACAGGCACACGAGCGGCCGGCGTGACGCTGGGCGCTGAGTGGGGCCTCCGTCACCACTAGACATCACAACATACGCGATGTCGCCTTCGTAAGGATTGCTGACATCAGACCTAATGCGCAGTTTCAGTAAACAGGGCTGTTCTTTAGAACCTCAACGCAACTCGTTCGCTGGAAACGGACGGATGTATTGATCCACAATAATATAATATAATATAATATGACGCAGTTGGAGTGAAACTGAGCATTAGGCCTGATGTCAGAAATCCTTATAATCTTTCCATTTGTCAGTCTGTCTTTACTTTTTTTTATTGCTTAGATGGGTGGACGAGCTCACAGGCCACCTGATGTTAAGTGGTTACTGGAGCCCATAGACATCTTCAACGTAAATGCGCCACCCACCTTGAGATAGAAGTTCTAAGGTCTCAGTATAGTTACAATATTTCATTAGAAAAATTTGTACCCGCCTGCGGGATTCGAACACCGTTGCATCGCTAGATACGAATGCAACGGACGTCTTATCCTTTAGGCCACGACGACTTCAAATGCTTCAATGCTTATTCTTATCTTATGTTTTCTTTCCAGATTGGAATCACATCGTTCGTGGGTCGGACCTGCCAAGCGGGGCAGCCTGCTGGCTTCGCGAGAGTAACCTCCTTCGCCAGCTGGATCCAAGCTAGACTTTAATAAATACAAAATGAAATTATGTGATAGTTGATAGCTGTGGTGTTTATTAAACTAATAGAGCTACTCAACAATGTACTTGTAATAATGCGTCCATAAATTGAAGAAATGACTAATAAAGTTCTTAGATCTACATAAGTGTTTAAATATTTGAGGATTCAGAGTGGAATTCTGTCACCTTTTTTATGAATGAGAGATTACTGGTCGGCCAGAGGCCTTCCAGTTTCACCAAGATAGGTGGGCAAGCAAAAGATCAGCCAGGAGGGGTGGGATTTGCTAACAGCTGCCCGAGCGCCCCCAAAAGAAACCAAACAACTAAAGAGCAACTGCTTGGCGAATGAATCTACTACCGGGTCGGGATCGCGATTCGCTGAGAAGATCCGGCGAAAAACTCAGCGGGCTGATGCATGGGTTAAGTTGCACCGAGTTCGACGAGTAGGATATCCGGGGTCCCTAAGCTTGCTCCTAGTGTTAGAGCTGAAGGCGTCTAATGCAAAGGTTATTGGATCTGATGGATCCGTAAGAACGTGTCTAGGGCGTCGACGGTGACTGGCTCCTGCGTGATCAGTATTCGAGGAGTAGTCAGCGGCAGCAACGATAAGGCGATTATCATGACGCATAGCCTTATCGAAGTACCGTTCCGACGATGACTTGCTGTTATCCTTTTCTGACAAAGCGAATTTTGCTCAGTATAGAATAGACAGATATAGCAGGTGTGTAGAATTATGTCATCTATTCAACATTATTACTTTATGATAACTATGACAGTTTAATAACAAAAATTCACGTTTTTGTAGCTAGTTACCCGAACTATATTTTTTTTTGATCTTGTGCTATAGCGATGTCAGATTTAAAGTAATATAATAAAAGTCAAAGTTACGAATGGGTCACTTATATACACTTACAAAGATATTAGTTATTTCTGTTATTTTCATTCCTTTTTTTATTTTTATTTTTATTTTTAAAATTGAGCAACTTGCTACGCCCGATTCAAATATCTGATTGAGGCAACTACTCAATAAGATTGTTGGTGACCATAGGTGATCCACTAATGTTTGGCGACCATCATACGATGTGCTCATAGCTTGATATGATAGAGATAGCTTTATTAGCCGATGACAGAACTGTTTACTATTCGAGTAGAAACAAGTCCCTAATCGCGAGGGAACTTCAGAGCGCAGCCGTAGCCCTAAGACAGTGGTTCCGAAAATGCCGCATAGGCATCAACCCAGCGAAAAGTACTGCGGTGCTATTTTAAAGCGGAAACTCCATACGGATTTCCTCCCGGATTAGGAGGAGGTATTTCAGATCCCCGATTACCCTCTTTAGACATCCCATACTATGGGCCAGGAAGGTCAATCCTGGATGCTTTGATGGCATTCCGCCCGCATATAAAATCAGTCCGCAATCGTGCCGCGTTTATTCTCGGCAGACTTTACCCCATGATATGTAAGCCGAGTAAAATGTTCCTTCGGAACAAGGTGACACTTTACAAAATCTGCATAAGGCGCGTCGTGACTTATACGAGTGTGGTGTTCGCTCACGCGGCCCGCACGTACATAGACACCCTCCAATTCCTACAGTCCCGTTTTTGCAGGCTAGCCGTCGGAGCTCCGTGGTTCGTGAGGAACGTCAACTAACACGACGACCTGGGTCTCGAATGAATCTGGAAACACATAAAGTCAGCGTCGGACGGTACTTCGATAAGGCTATGCGTCATAATAATCGCCTTATCGTTGCCGCCGCTGACTACTCCCCGAATCCTGATCACGCAGGAACCAGTCACCGTCGACGCCCTAGACACGTCCTTACGGATCCATCAGATCCAATAACCTTTGCATTAGACGCCTTCAGCTCTTAATCTAGGAGCAGGCTTAAGGACCCCGGTAACCGTACTCGTCGAACTCGACAAAGAGGTCGACGTGCAACCTAGCCCATGCATCAGCCCGCTGAGTTTCTCGCCGGATTTTCTCAGCGGGTCGCGATTCCGATCCGGTAGTAAATTCATCTGCGAAGCAGTTGCTCTTGAGTTGTTAGGTCTCCTTCGGAGGCGCTCGAGCAGTTGTTAATAAATCCCACCCCTCTTGGCTGAGCCTTTGCTTGCCAACATATCTTGGTGAAACTGGAAAGGCCTACTGGCCATCAGGAAGCCACAAACGAATATTATTCAAGCGGGATTTGATTGCCATTTTGCTTTGTAAATGTCATTCAGCCAACCTTCTTACCGCCAACACACCTAGATTGAGGCTGAAGCACCAGTTCGTCGGGACCTGGGCTTGGGCTGTTAGATACGGGAGAAAACGTGACGGTCAACATCTCTTGAAATGAAAACAAGTAGAAATAGGCATTTTTTGTACATCAAAACTGCAGTAACCCCATCTCGTTTATACATAACTCTGTGTCAAACACCAGGAGGAATCAAGGGCCCCTCCAGGTGATCACGAACATTCGAGCCATCAAACATAATCTAGTCAACCCTGTGCGTGAGCACTGCTGGCGGCCGCAGCACTTGCAGTGGTGATTCAGGCACTCCGCTGGCGTTCGTTCACCTACGCTGGGCGCCGCACCTGGTATTATGAATGAATGATTGATTTATTTTATTTCAGACAACAACAACTCCATATGTGTACATAGTATCATTGAAATATACTTAAAATTAACAAAACCAATCAAAAGATAAGATAATAAAAAAAGATACATTTATTAAAAATAATTATCAGTTGAATACATTTCAAATATTCCATTCAATTGATACTTACTTCGAACCAACCATTATTATTATTTTTATTTTTATTTAGTCCGCAAGTGAACCATGGTACAATAGTTCAAGTACCGACAGTCATAACGGTCAGTTAATGCCTTCAAGATGCTGTTAGGGCTGACCCGGACCCGGCGAATCAGTGATGTGCACCTTTTCCGCATGGCCGTAAAGAAACAATCGACTCGTGCCTCGGCGAACATTCCCGACGCGCTACAGAACCGAGGCAGCCCCAACAACATCCTGGACACATTGTTGTATTGGACGCGTAAGACGCTGTACTGCTTTAGAATACTGCTTTAACACGTTCACTGCGGAACAGGCCCAAATCAGCCTGCCGCGGAATTTCACCTGGTGCGGACGAAGAAAACTATGTCCCTCTCGCTGGTGCGGAACGATTATCTCAGGTGTTTGTAAAGGTACGACAAAGACAAATATATATTTGAGATTGTGGTCAAAAGTATAGGTGTTCCCTATAAAAACATCACGGCAGGCCTTTATCGGCCTATCACGCACTGACGGTAAAAAATATCAACTCGGTGCGGGAGGAGGCCTATTGTGGCCCGCCGTCCCAACAGGCTGTTGGCGGCCCGATACCGCACAGAGCGCCCGCCTCGCCAGTTAGTGTTGGGCAAGCTATCGGAACTGACGTACGTCACGTTTTTTTTATTCCTTAAAATTAAAGGCACGATGTCAGGCAACAAAAGAAAGATAAATAGATAAAAAGATAAAAAAGGTGTTGACTTCAGCGACCAAATGTCTGCATATTATTCTACATTAAAAAGAGGGCTCAAATGGTTCAGAAAAGTGGGTATGGAATATTTGTTTGGCATGGCGTTGGTAAACGCTTGGATTATATACAACATGAAAAATGAGAAGAAGGTTTCAAAGAAAGAATTTACAGAAGCATTAATACAATCAATTACTGGAAAAAATATATGCCCTGATAGTAAGTATAACGACGTGCAACATAACTGTAACCATCTTTAGACCTATGTTGAAGGTGATTCCTTCTGTTTCGTGTTGACGACGTTCTACCTCTGCAACAGGTAACTATTGTCATTATTTTTTACACATTACGAGTGCTTAGGTGGCTGTGCATGGTCTTCGAGCATGAGCTTTGGTTTGACTCCGTTTATTTTTCTGCGAGCAATGTATGGCGTTTATTGCACTACTCCTTGTATTAAGGTATGTTATGACACTCTGTTTACTTACTCAATAACACATGAGTTGTTGTTTCGGGTCAGAAGGCTGCATTTAACATGAAAATAACGCTTCAAGTCTACTATATAAGGCCCTGTATTATATGTACATATTTTGTTTTCACAAGCTTAACAAATAGAGTGGTCTGAAAATTGCAGAAAACAAAGTTGTATCACCTTATCTTGTAGCATGTTGTGTTTAATTTTACCCATCAAAGTGTGCACTTTGACAACGCATGGTGATGAGATTTGACTATTTCAAGACCTATGTTAACTTTTTCATTTTATTTGAGAATCTATTTAATACACAGAGAGCCCTGTAGTCAAATTCATAAGGTAAATGAATCACAGAATTTAAAAAATCATTTCAGGAAATCAAGTAACACCTACGGCCGATCATATCCTTGAGATGAGCGGTAAACGGCGAAATTGTGTAGGGTGCTATGAAAAACTGCGGGAAACCATGAAGAGTTCCGAGGTGAAAAGGAAAGTAAAAAAAATTAAAACATACTGCAGAATGTGCAAGCAAAATCTTTGTGCGAAATGTTTTAAAGACAGCCATTAATAAATAATTAAATAAACAATTTTTATTTCTTTACTTTAATTCTGTTTTATTTTCGATATCCCCTTATTTTTGTCTTTCCCATCACTACTAAAAATACTTTCTAGTGCGGTTCTGGTCGATATCGACCCGCCACTTTCCCTGGTTTATTTCTCATTTTCTGTTCGGCAGATCCCGGGGCGAATCAAATCTAAAGAAGTTGGGTTCAAGGTTTTTCCAACAGTCCAAAAACTGTTCACCTACATTATGTTTTCGCAAAGTTATAGCAATTTAATCTAACCTTGTGCTGACGTGTCGAAAAAGACCTACCACGCACTGGCGGAAAAATCATTGGGGGCACAATTTGGCCCGCCGCCGCACCAGACAAAGGTTTAAGATTTTACTTGCCGCAGCGAACATGTTAAGGCGCTGACTATAGAGCACCCACAGGCCGCCCGTATAGAAGCACGTACAAAACGCTCTAAATAGAATAATTTTGACA